GAAATTGAAATAAACAATTTGGCTTGTTGTGCTTTTTATCTTTTTCCAATTTTGAAGAGATAAATCAGCCAGAAGGAAAGCACAACTAGTTTTCCATTGGAATGCTGATGGTTTGTTGAAAGATGTGTCCTCCAAATTCTACACATATGTTGTCAATTAAGAATTCAAGCATACTAACAATGTCTTCCTCTGTATAGAATGTCTTTGCATCAGTTTTGTTGGTGACAAAATAGGTGCATTTGTAGCCTAATACAATGTATTTATATCTATGCGATTCTTTTTAAAGAAAGCTTGGTGAATGATATGTTGTCGTGTGGTATTGTAGTGTATAGTGTGGAAAAAAAGGACATACCTTCCACATTGGATGTCTTCATAAAATATGCGGCATCTACAGTCCCTCAAGATATCTAATAAGAAATACACCAGGAGACCAACTCCAAGAGCATGTCACTTCAGATTAAAGCTCGTAGACTGAGATGGCTGGGATATGTACTCAGAATGGCAGGTGACAGAAGACAGAATATGGTTGCCCTGATATGGACACCACCGGGAAAGAGAAGGCCAAAGACAACCTGGCATAGGACTGTCATATTCGAGTTGAAGGAGATGGGTCTCTCATAAAATGAAGCATAGGCTAAAGCCCCCCCCCTCCCCCAGGGGATCGGGGTTGGTCAGCTATTTTTATCTACCTAGATGGACTCCCGGGGATCGACTTTGATGATCGAAATGAAGTTACAGAAAAAAAAAATCAGCTTCATTCTCCTGATTGTTGGATCACACAAGCTCTATAGACAGTATTTGGAAAATATGAACCCCTTTTCAGACAGAAATAATGAAAAAAGATGCCCCTTTTCAGACAGACCTGGGTTAAATAACATAGCCCTTTTCAGACAGAAGTGGTGAATTTGGGACCCCTTTTGGCAGCACATATACATATGGCACTTCAATGTGAATACCCCCCCCCCCCCCCAGGCTCAAGCTAAGGACAGAGTACGGGGGCATAATTGTATTGCAGCCTTGTGTTCCACTGGGAATGCAGGAGATTGAGGTTGAAGTTGTGAAAATTATACTTTGCTCATTGTCAATAATCTGACCTTGAAACAAACATGAATTATATGCAAATGGACACAAAATACACTCAGTGTTATCATTTTGCAACTGAAAACTGTGACTTTCAATATATATATACTAGAAACGTAATACAAG